AAATATTTGACACAGCATAGGTTTCTGACACAGAAAGAATGTGGTCTAAGAACTTCAATTTTTTTAATTTACCTATTATGGTCCAATGTCCAAAATCAAAATACATGGTTAGATTCAGCATATCAAAGAACCCCATATATTCAATTTTTGTTAAAATCAAACAAAGTTTTATTTTGGACCCCAACTTGGACAAACTTGAAAACTGGTCCCATAATCAAAAATCTAAACACATGTTTAGATTCAGCATATCAAAGAACCCCAAGAATTCAATTTTTGCTAAAATCAAACTAAGTTTAATTTTGGACCCTTTGCACCTTAATGTAGACCAATTTAAAAAACGGGACTTAAAATTAAAAATCTAAATACACGGTTAGATTTGGAATATCAAAGAACCCCAATAATTCAATTTTTGATGAAATCAAACAAAGTTTAATTTTGGACCCTTTTGACCTCAATATGAACCAATTTGATAGCGGGGCCCACAAATAAAAAATCTAAATTCATGGTTAGATTCAGCATATCAAAGAACCCCATATATTCAATTTTTGTTGAAATAAAAAAAAGTTTAATTTTGGACCCCAACTTGGACCAACTTGAAAACTGGGCCCATAATCAAAAATCTAAACACATGTTTAGATTCAGCATATCAAAGAACCCCAAGAATTCCATTTTTGTTAAAATCATACTAAGTTTAATTTTGGACCCTTTGGACCTCAATGAAGACCAATTTAAAAAACGGGACCCAAATTAAAAATCTAAAAACACGGTTAGATTTGGCATATCAAAGAACCCCAATAATTCAATTTTCGATGAAATCAAACAAAGTTTAATTTTGGACCCTTTTGACCTCAATATGAACCAATTTGATAGCGGGGCCTACAAATAAAAAATCTAAATACATGGTTAGATTCAGCATATCAAAGAACCTCATATATTCAATTTTTGTTGAAATCAAACAAAGTTTAATTTTGGACCCCAATTTGGACCAACTTGAAAACTGGGCCCATAATCAAAAATCTAAATACATGTTTAGATTCAGCATATCAAAGAACCCCATATATTCAATTTTTGTTGAAATCAAACAAAGTTTAAATACTGGACCCTATCTTGGACCAACTTGAAAACTGGGCCCATAATCAAAAATCTAAACACATGTTTAGATTCAGCAAATCAAAGAACCCCAAGAATTCAATTTTTGTCAAAATCAAACTCAGTTTAATTTTGGACCCTTTGGACCTCAATGTAGACCAATTTAAAAAACAGGACCCAAAATTAAAAACCTAAATACACGGTTAGATTTGGAATATCAAAGAACCCCAATAATTCAATTTTAGATGAAATCAAACAAAGTTTAATTTTGGACCCTTTTGACCTCAATATGAACCAATTAGATAACGGGGTCCACAAATAAAAAATCTAAATACATGGTTAGATTCAGCATATCAAAGAACCCCATATATTCAATTTTTGTTGAAATCAAACAAAGTTTAATTTTGGACCCCAATTTGGACCAACTTGAAAACTGGGCCAAAAATCAAAAATCTAAATACATGTTTAGATTCAGCATATCAAAGAACCTCATATATTCAATTTTTGCTAAAATAAAACAAAGTTTAATTTTGGACCCTTTGGACATTAATGTAGACCAATTTGAAAACTGGACCCAAAATTAAAAATCTGAATACACTGTTAGATTCGGCATAACAAATGAATAAATGTGATCAAAGATTTTACAAATCTAATGCGCCATACTGTGCAATTAAAGATTACTTCTTGAAATTTTTCAATATTTGAAATTTGAAAAAAAAATAATATTTGAAGAATAATTCTTTTTAATTTCTGAAATCTGAAATTGGCCCCCCACAATTTCTTTTTATCCCCCCCCCCCTTTTTCCCCAAAAAAATTCTTTCCCTCAAGATATGGTCATAATCTCAATTCAAATTTCCAATGGAGTTGGCAACCATAATTACCCATTTAAATTTACCATAGTGCTAACTTAATCTATTTTATAATAGAATTAATAAAAATATAGTGTCAAATCTTTCATATGGATTTTTTTGTAAAAAAAAAAGATGATAACATTTGCAGATATTTTTACTGGTCTTCCTTTATAAATATGCATTTCTTTAAACATAATTTAAAAGCAGTGTAAGGGAAGTAACCAAAACATTGTATTTGGATTACCTCCCTTACACTGTTTTAGATTATCTTTATTGTTCATTAACCATTACTTTATACATAATTTAAAAGCAGTGTAAGGGAGATAATTTCAATGATGTATTTGATTTATCTCCCTTACACTGCTTTAAATTATGTTTTGTACTAAAGTATTTGTCCATTAACCAGGACAACCTTGTTTTTCCCCCTTTTTTGCCCCTAATTCCTAAACGGTTTGAGCCATAACCCCCCAAAGCAAATCCTAACCATCCCTTTGTGGTATGGAAACTTGTAGTATAATTTCAGAGAGATCCATACACCGTTCCACAGTTATTGTCTGGAAACTAGAAAATGCTCATTTTTGGCCCCTTTTTGGCCCCTAATTCCTTAACTGTTGGTACCATAACCCCCAAAATCAATCCCAACCTTCCTTTTGTGGTATTTAACCTTATGGTCAAATTTCAAAAAGATCCATTCACTTAAACTAAATTTAGAGTGCGAAAACCAATATGTATTCGGACGACGACGCCGGACGACGACGACGACGACGACGACGACGCCGACGCCAACGTCATACCAATATACGACCACAAAATTTTTTTGCGGTCGTATAAAAATGCTTATTTTTAGCCCCTTTTTGGCCCCTAATTCCTTAACTGTTGGTACCATAACCCCCAAAATCAATCCCAACCTTCCTTTTGTGGTATTGAACCTTATGGTAAAATTTCATAGAGATCCATTCACTTAAACTAAAGTTAGAGTGCGAAAAACCAATGTGTCTTCGGACGACGCCAACTTCATACCAATATATGACCGCAAAATTTTTTTGCAGTCGTATAAAAAGACTGGAAGAGTGGAGTATTTGCTTAACTTGTTCACACTGAATGTCACAGGAGGAGCAGAAAATAGTTACACTTCAGGAGCATCAAAGTTGGCCCAATTTTTCACATGATTCATTTTGCTTAATCTTTTAAGTTTTCTGTGTAGTGTTTTGTCAATTTCACTCATTCATGCTTGATGTTGCCATTTCTTTTATCATGCACAAAATCTAATGTCACATATGATTTGATTTGATTTTTGGCGTTTTAACGCCACTTTTAAGCACCGCTTTTGGGCTATTTCGTGGCGGCCAGTTTTTATTGGTGGAGGAAGCCCGAGTGCCCGTTTAAAACCGCCAACCTTCAATAGGAAAACTGACAATCCTAGTCAATTAAGATTGGAGTCGAGTGCACCCACACGAGCCTAGTTCGAACTCACAACCTCAGTGTTGTCTGGCTAGCGATTACAGTAGTAACTACTTAGACCACTCGGCCACCGAGGCCCCCTGTCACATATGAGAGTGTAGGAGTGTCCTGCAAAACATTTTCAGTAGTATACCTTTGTAGATAAAACCTACTATTCATCTAGGAATTAAGGTCTTAGCAAAGCAAATGTGTATATATACGGTTTAGGTGGGAGACCTGAAACTGTTTGAGACATTTTATTAAATGAGGGGAAAAAGGGGGGGTCATTACCCTAATAGCCAGATGCTTAGTTATGTAGAAAAATTCTAGCATTGCCAGGCAATATATACAGTTTTGGGGGTGAATATATAAATATTAATTATTATTTTTTATATATACTGTAAATTCAGAAATTATTGTGTGCATTTGAAATTGCGATTTTTGAAGAATGGACAATAATGTGAGATTAATTATTGAGATTTAAGGAAAACCTGCAAACATATATATATGTAGCAGATATCAGAATATGAGTTCTTATTATTGCGATCCTCACCCAGTCACATGATTCGCATTAATAATAAACTGTCGACACAGAGATATGTTTCGTCTTTGCTATTTTGATAGTGCAAATGTTGAAATAGCAATACTTTAACATGCAAGTTATGCAAATTCAAAGTCAATGAACCATGATTGAAAGTACAGGGCTAAACAAATCTCCATGTAAATGAGATGTGCCAATGCTAATACAACTGCATACCATTGACTTTTCATAAGTTGTTCCCTTTAAACAAACCTAAACACAAACATTAACTTATAAACTATGTAAAAGTTTCAAAGTCAACATGGTCAATGAACCCTGGTGAGGGTGTGGGGCTATATAATCTCCATGGAAATGAAAATTGCAAATGCAAATACATTTGTATACCAAATATCATTGACTTAACTTTAGAGGTTCATCTTTTAACTGATGCAATCACAAACTAATACCTGTAATCTAAGCAAAAGTTTTAAAGTCAATAGACCATGACCGAGAGGGCTGGGACAAATAATCTTCCTGGAAATGAGATATGCCAATGCTTATACAACAGCATACCAAATATCATTGACCTACCACTAGTGGTTCCCCATAAACTAGACCTAATCACAAACTAGTACATTGTTGATGCCGCCAATGCCAGAAACAGCAGAGTCTCGCATTTCGACTCCGTTAAGGTGAAACAAAAACCTTGCAATAATTTCTTAACTTACAGTATAATATCTGACATCTAATACATGGTCTATGATGTGTTTTTTTATCCGTCTTTTAGTATTACCCAATATTATTTGATTTCGATATTGTAATGCTGCCTATCCAGGGACAAAATTAGCCCCCAGGGAATAGTGTTACATAAGACTAAAGGGACCTATAAAGTGTTGGGGTTCAACATTTAGTTAGGTGAATAGTTGTTTATGTCCATGTCTTATGGACTTGGTAGATAGTCGTCATATTGGCAATCATACCACATCTTATTTAATATTAGTTTCTTCTGAAATGGTCATTCTCTGCTCTTTGGTCACATTGTTGTCTATGACACATTCCCTGTTTCCCTTCTCTTTTCTATTCAACAAATTAAACAACATACTGTTTGAATTTTTTACTTTTTGTTCATAAAATTGATATGTTTTAAAATTCTCTACATAAAAACTAAAAAAAATATACATAGGTACATATCTACAAGAATCTTTTTCAACAATAATCATGATAATTTTAAAGCATTTTATTACTATAAGTAGGTAATTTTTATTGATTTTTTAGACATTTCAATTATTTAATAACTGAAAAACATCCCAATTGCCCTTTTTCAACTTAAAAAATTATGACAATTTCTTCAAAAATCACGGAGCAACAAACGACAAACAAAAGTTCTTAAAAAACAAAACAACAAACAAAAAAGATGTAGACGAAAATTTAACAATGGCTACATGATTGCACTGATTTCACACACTTCAACAAGAATTGTCTTTATCATAATGAATAGAGGCAGATCTAGTAGCTTTAGTATACATGTTAGAAGGGGTATATCTCCTTCAACAGTTAGATAAAAAAAATTAACAAATTTCCATTTCACTAAAATACTTTGCCTATTTTTTTTGTTCCTTTTTAGCAAGTTTAAAGGGGGCTAAATGTATCAAACCAATTCTAGATCCAATCAATGAAAAATAACACACATGAAAATATTGATTAAATACATCTATATAACATGAGTATTTCATAGTCCATGAACATCAAATACAAGCAATATTTTAATAGGCCATTCTAAACAAATATTTCTCTAGCATTCATATTTTGATACATTTATGACAAGTACATTTATTTTTTTAAATATATAGAAGCAGTTTAAAGAATACACACGCATGAATGATAGAATTATTGAATAATTTTGCATAAAATGTGTATGGAAAAATATGAAAATGAAATTAAAGTAAAAAATAATAAAGTTCTTCATTTTTCAATTTCTAAAATCAAATTACAATACTTTAACAAAAAGAGGATACACCTGCCATGTATTAAACATATAAACTGACATAACTGTTTATAAGAAATATGCAAGTTTAACAAAACAACATTTGAATATTTCTCAACCAAAACAGACTTATTGATGCATACAATGTAAAAGTAGAAGTTTCTAAAAATACTTTGCAAATTGTGGTTTGTGCTACTTAATTGTGGGAACTAGTCCCTACAAAGTAATGGGATTAATTTATTTTTATGGGTACCAATTTTCGTGGCTTCAAGAAAACTTGCAATTTCATGGATATTGGATTTCGTGGTTTTGCAAAATATTCATTCAAAACGTCTCTCTATTAAACAGAGTAATGCATGTATACAAAGATATATATGAATATAATCCCTATCACCTTAGGCTCATCAGTTAACCCATGACCCATGACCTATGAACCAATGTTTCTCTATATCATTTCTAATATCTATTTCCTTGAAATTCTCTCAGTTGACTATACCCTGGGTAATTAATCTATAATTACTAATAAATGTCTTTCAGCCAATAAGATTCTTCTCAAATAATTTCAGTTATCAAAGCCCAATTACACAATAGCACTGAAACATGGTGGAGTTTTAAGTCAGAAGACACTAATATTCAATCAAGTCTAATTCTTCCATTTCTTGGCCATCTTGTCGACACAACCTTCTAATTATCAATCTTTTTCTTCCATCATCAATTTTGTTGCATGTATGAATCCAGATCAGCATCCAAGCTGCTTTTTGTCTTGCTCATGTAAGCTTCCAACTGGTTGTCTAGTTCCTCTTTTGATATCGGACTTCTACCATCACCTCCACGACCTCTCTGACCTCCTCTGCCACCTCTGAATCCACCACGACCTCTGTTGTTGCCACCACCTCGGGCCCTGTAAAATAAGAGGGAGGATCAAAAGATCTGATAGCAAAATAAATAACAGCCACTGTGGTTCATTCTAACCTCTCTGTTAACCAGAAACAAGGCTTAAACCCTGTGAAAACCAGAAAACTATCTACATTGAACAATTGTATTAGGGAAGTTGATTAATAATTGTAAATTGAGCATCAAATCACCTGTCTAATTCAAATAGAATTCTTCTGTCATGAAGTTGTTCTGTTAAGAAATATTTATACTCGTTAGAAGGTACCTCATAAACTATTTCACAAAAGATAAAATGCTTCGCAGGGCGCAGCTTGATACGACCGCAGAGGTCGAACCCTGAACAGTTGGGGCAAGTATGGACACAACATTCAAGCTTGATACAGCTCTGAATTTGGGTTGTGATTAAATATTTGACACAGCATAGGTTTCTGACACAGAAAGAATGTGGTCTAAGAACTTCAATTTTTTTAATTTACCTATTATGGTCCAATGTCCAAAATCAAAATACATGGTTAGATTCAGCATATCAAAGAACCCCATATATTCAATTTTTGTTGAAATCAAACAAAGTTTAATTTTGGACCCCAACTTGGACAAACTTGAAAACTGGTCCCATAATCAAAAATCTAAACACATGTTTAGATTCAGCATATCAAAGTACCCGAAGAATTCAATTTTTGTTAAAATCAAACTAAGTTTAATTTTGGACCCTTTGGACCTTAATGTAGACAAATTTAAAAAACGGGACCCTAAATTAAAAATCTAAAAACACAGTTAGATTTGGCATATCAAAGAACCCCAATAATTCAATTTTTGATGAAATCAAACAAAGTTTAATTTTGGACCCTTTTGACCTCAATATGAACCAATTTGATAGCGGGCCCACAAATAAAAAATCTAAATACATGGTAAGATTCAGCATATCAAAGAACCCCATATATTCAATTTTTGTTGAAATCAAACAAAGTTTAATTTTGGACCCCAATTTGGACCAACTTGAAAACTGGGCCAAAAATCTAAAATCTAAATACATGTTTAGATTCAGCATATCAAAGAACCCCATATATTCAATTTTTGTTGAAATCAAACAAAGTTTAATTTTGGACCCCAACTTGGACCAACTTGAAAACTGGGCCCATAATCAAAAATCTAAACACATGTTTAGATTCAGCATATCAAAGAACCCTAAGAATTCAATTTTTGTTAAAATCAAACTAAGTTTAATTTTGGACCCTTTGGACCTTAATGTAGACAAATTTAAAAAACGGGACCCAAAATTAAAAATCTAAATACACGGTTAGATTCGGCATATCAAAGAACCCCAATAATTCAATTTTTGATGAAATCAAACAAAGTTTAATTTTGGACCCTTTGGACCTCAATGTGGACCAATTTAAAAACGGGGCCCAAAATCCAAAAACTTAATACACGGTTAGATTCAGCATATTAAAGAACCCCAAGAATTCAAGAATAAAACCCCATTGAAATTGATCAAGAAATAAGCAATTTATACGAAGTATCTTCTTTTGCACAATACTGTGCAATTGAATATTTCTTGCTATTGCGCAATACTGTACAATTGACAATTTCTTGCTATTGCGCAATATTGTGCTATTGGATATTTCTTGCTATTGCGCAATACTGTTAAATTGAAGATTTCTTGCTATTGCGCAATACTGTGCAATTGAAGATTTCTTGCTATTGTGCAATACTGTGCAATTGAAAATTTCTTACTATTGCACAATACTTATTATATAATAATTTACACATCCTGTTTGGTGTGTATCTCCTACCATATCATTATTATTTGCTTTCAAATATAAATCAGAAATAACCAACTTAAAATGGAAAATTTTAAAAGAAAAAAAAAAGGAAAAAAAGAAAAAAAAAAAAAAAAAAATCCCCCCCCCAATTTTTTGAACCCCCTTATGATTCATCACCCCCAAACTCAATCCCAGCCTTCCCTTTGTGGTATGGTACCTTGCAGTACAATTTCAGAGAGATCCATACACTTGAACACAAGTTATTGTCTGGAAACTAGAAAAATGCTTATTTTTGGCCCCTTTTTGGCCCCCAATTCCTAAACGTTTCGGGCAATTACCCCCAAACTCAATTCCAGCTTTCCCTTTGTGATATGGAACCTTGTAGTACAATTTCAGAAATATCCAAACACTTACACACAAGTTATTGTCATGAAACTAGAAAGATGCTTGTTTTTTGCCCCTTTTTTGGCCCCTAATTCCTAAAATTTTGAGGCAATTACCCCCAAAATCAATTACAGCCTTCCCTTTGTGATATGGAACCTTGTGGTACAATGTCAGAGAGATCCATACACTTACACACAAGTTATTGTCTAAAAGTTACAAAAATGCTTATTTTTGGCCCCTTTTTGGCCCCTAATTCCTTGACTGTTGGTACCATAACCCCCAAAATCAATCCCAACCTTCCTTTTGTGGTATTGAACCTTATGGTGAAATTTCATGGAGATCCATTCACTTAAACTAAAGTTAGAGTGCGAAAACCAATGTGTCTTCGGACGACGCCGGACGACGACGACGACGACGACGACGACGACGACGACGCCAACGTCATACCAATATACGACCAAAAAATTTTTAATTTTTGCGGTCGTATAAAAATCTGGAACAATATGCTCTAAGATTAACATAATATTTTTAAAACATTTTACTGACTTGAAAGTCTGTTTCAAAATGATGCTAAAAACAGTTTGCTTATCCTTCGAGTAGCACTCTTTTCTCAAAACAATAAAACTCAACTCAATTAATTGTTATCTTTTAAACGATAAAGAAGCTTAAGCTAAAAAAAAATTTGTAAGGGTTCCGCGGAACCCAGTGTCTCGCCTACTTCTTCTGTTAATCGCAGGCTCAACAAAAATGAGGAAGTAAATCAATAAAAATATTCCTCTTGATACTATCTTTTGATTGTAAGAAGCATCTGTCCAAGTTTGGTAAAAATCCAGGATAGTTTATGAATCTAATAAATGTTTAAAAACTTTAACTGCAGACTGAATGTAATGTGAACTGGAAGAAAACAAATTCCTTCTAGATACTACCTTTTGATCATAAACAAGCTTCTGTCCAAGTTTGGTACAAATCCAAAATAGTATAATTAAGAAAGTTATTAAAATTATAAAAACTTTAACCACAGAGTGAATATGTTGTTTCCTGGCAGAAAATCTAAGTCCATTTAAAAGTAAAATACGGAAAAAATGGATTTATTTTTTTACAAAATTTCCTTCTAGATACTAGCTTTTGATCATAAACAAGCTTCTGTCCAAGTTTGTTACAAATCCAAAATAGCATAAGAAAGTTATTAAAATTTTAAAAACTTTAACCACAGAGTGAATATGTTGTTTCCTGGCAGAAAATCTAAGTCCATTTAAAAGTAAAATACGGAAAAAATGGATTTATTTTTTTACAAAATTTCCTTCTAGATACTAGCTTTTGATCATAAACAAGCTTCTGTCCAAGTTTGGTACAAATCCAAAATAGTATAAGAAAGTTATTAAAATTTTAAAAACTTTAACCACAGAGTGAATATTTGTGGACGCCGCCGACGACGCCGATGGAATGTAGGATCGCTATGTCTCGCTTTTTCGACTAAAGTCGAAGGCTCGACAAAAATCAAGCAACATATTCGAAATGGTAACCAAATAAAAATTCAGAGGGATGTTTAGTTTAGAGATTAGCCTTCAGCATCCTTTTCTCCTAACCTATTTTTTTCTTTTCACCGAAATTCAGTTTAATTCATAGTCTTCAAAGTTCCTGATAAGTCTAAATACACCAAAAGTAATTGATTTATTGATTATATTGGTAATTAATGCCACTTTCAGCACTCCTTGCTGTATCTTCAGGCCTGTAGCCAAGGTTTCGAGTGGTACGTACCAACTGCCCTTTGAAAACAAAATATATACGAGTTAATGTAACCGCCCTTGAAAATTCCTGGCTACCTGCCTGATCTTGGTGGCCAGTTTGTATTGGTTGAGGAAACCAGAATGCCAAACAAAATGGCATGCTGACTTCTTAATAACAACCCCCCAAGGGTGACTGGGGAATAGAAGTATGGTCACCATTGGTCTTCCTCCGACCGGCAGTAAAACCCTTGCTAAAGTGGGGCGTCCGTTTTGGCTGTGCGGGATGTACAAATTTGCAGCCACGTCCGGTCAGAATGGGGACGTTAAATCCGATGCCTCGTGTAAAGAGAGTGCCACGCTCTTTGCACGTTAAGAACCCTTGCAACAACTCTATGAGGGGTCCGTAGGTGACCTGTTGCAAGGCTAAATTTCTGTCCCTATCCAATATACCCTCATTTCCCGTGGCAGTCTAAATTTCTCCGACCTTAATCCCTTCATCTATTACAGAACCTACCTATTGTATTTATTGTTAATTTGTTCTCGTCCTGAATATGCATGAAATATTTGCCACTGGACGTTAAGCAACCAACAATCAATCAATCAATCTTAATAACAAAATGATGAATCTTTTCAATTTCGCTATTTGAATTGGGAATTATTATTTATATCATTTGTCAAAACAAAAAGACAAATATATTACTGATAAATATAATTATTTTGTTACCCTTGAACAACATTTATTATATAAATAAAAATAAGTTTATACAAAAACAAAACCACTACAAGGTGCTATTAATGTAAAAAAATATATTGATACACAGTCTAGGCAAACTACAGTTTTAAAACTTCAATCTCCAAAACATGATTACAATTTGTTTTATAGACAGTCAAGGGTCTAACTTAAATAATTTATTAGAGAAAAATAACATACATTTGTTATTGAGGGCTAAAAAATCTAAAATCTGTAATAACATATGTATGTTACATGTTTCAAAGGGCCATTATACATCCTTAATTTTGTTAAATTGTGTACTAGTTCTATTGATATTATACATTTTTTGTAATTGTCTTATGTATATTAAACTTTAGAAAGATATAACAGCCCATAGTTTGCCAATCATGCATAACATACCCATGTTATCACAGAAAAAAATATGCCTGTAATAACTAAAGGGTGTTATTACAGCTTCTCTACATCTCTTCAAAGCCTTTTCTCCTACATATATCACAATGTATTTTAATTTATTGTAATAAATAATGATAAGAGCATGTAATGAGGTTCTGCGCAAGCTTCCTAGTCATTCCCAAGTGTCTCATGTAATAAGTTAAATGCCTGTAATAACTAAGCCTTGTTATTACAGCTAAGTTATCACTTAAAAGCCTTGTCTCATTGATTTACCATGGTTGATCAAAAATGTATTAATTGAATTGGAAAATTAGTTTTCAAGGTTATGTATTAAGGTACTGCGCAATTTTCAAGAATTCCCACTGAAAATAAAAAAAATTATGGTACATTTAACTGATAACAAACATATGTTACTACAGATTAAGAGAAAGTATCCGTAATAACAGATGTATGTTATTTTTCTCTAATAACTTATTCAAGTTACACCCTTGACTGATAGAACAGGTAAAACTGAAAACTATGTATTCTTCAATGTTCTAAGTTTTGTTACTTGTTTATTTCATAGTCATATCAATATGAAGCAATGCATTAAAAATCTATATAAAAGTGAGGTTTGTGCCAAAACCACTAGCCCTTAGCCCATTACCAGTAAATATTTCAAAAGATTGAAGGTGCAATTATAAATCATGAAACCAATATTTTATTTTTCTTTCAGGACAAGATTTTAATACATATCACCATAAACTAAATGGATATAATATTTTTTATCAAACAAACAATTTATTTTTCGTAACATTCATTTTAATTTGGTGATTGATCTGATTTTGTAAATGGTAATTTTACAAGCTACTGCTCTAAATTGATAAGAGTAAAAACAAAGACATAGAAACAAATATACAAGCAGAATTTTAAAAAAAAAGGAAATTCCTTTTTCAGCACACTTAGCACTTCATACATGTCATATAAACGATAAAAAAAAATTATTCTTTAAATTGAACTAATTGTTCCCATAAACACTTGGCTGAACAAACCATATCACATAGAAATTACCTCTTTTTCCAAAAAAAAAAATAGTATCTCAAATATTTATGTACTACTTTTAGAAATAATGTGTGAAAACTTGTGACTTTTAAAACCAATTCCTGGTTACAGAATTGCCTTTCTTGCTGCGGTCAAGACAAACCCTTAAACCAGGCATTTATAAGGTTCCAAAAAAAATACCAGCTCCATTAGGACTCTAAATTACATACAAAAGTACATAAGAATCAGGTAAAAAAATCTACATGGACTAAGCAGGATAATAACAAAATAAGCAAATTTAGGTTTGGACATTGAAGAAACTAAACCATGCCCTCTTACTGTCGATTGCCTCTAAAGTTTCCTCGCTGGAAACCTCCTCTACCACGTTCCTGACCTCTAAAACCAACATAAAGATATACATACATGTTATTACATCTTATTGATTTTCAGCATAAATATATAATAGATCTGCTTGTACAATTCAGTTAACTATTTACTCAATTGGGCAACCAATATTATAAATAGGCGACTGTCTCAAATTTAAAGTTTCGTGTGGTTCTAACCAAAAGTTGGCAAAACCACAACAAAGAACAAAAAAATGCTGAAAGTTGGGTTTTTTGGAAAGTCTATTGTATACCAAAATAGTGGACTAATGGGAACTTGTGAAAAATAAAGAAGAATGTTTCTGAGGACATGAATGCCCCCGCTCAAGCTTTGCAATTTTCCAAGTTAAAAAGGGGCATAACTCTAGAAAGGTAAGTGACCTACAATCCAAATTTGAACTCTGTCTTAGTAATGTTGTTCTTAGCATTTGTACGAGTTTCACATAATTTGTATGAGGAAAACTTAAGAGTGCAGAAACGAAAAAATTTGCAATTTTCCAAGTTATAAAGAGGCATAACTCTAGAACCGCAAGTGACTCACGGCCCAAATTCAAACTCTGTTTGCAGTTTTGGTTCTTAGCATTGATTATGAGTTTAATAAAATTTGCATGAGGCAAATTTAAATTAGAGTGCAAAAATGAAAATGGGATGGACAGAAGGACAGGCGGAAAGTCGGATGGACTAACAGGCAAGGGTAACACTTAATGCCCCTGTTGCCTACAGCGGGGGCATAAAAAAATGTGTATCCACTTTCCTCTTTTGTATGTAGTCTATTTTGTTTACCAAATACAAATCTTTTATCACATTTTTTTACCTGAAACCTCCTCTGTTACCACGGAAACCCTGTGCTTGTCCTCTTCCTCCTCTGTTGCCACCTTGAAATCCTAAAAAAAAATATATAAATGATTAAATGTCAATAATACTACTTATAAACTTATAATACATGTACCACATTTACAACACAGCTCATACGGATTTTTTTTATTTTCACCTGTCCATGGTTGGAGTTCGATTGGACAAATCTTCTCTTGGTGTCCCCTAGGGTAATTTCTTTTCTTTCTTAGAATATTTGTGTATTCACTGAAAAAAGAGGCAAGCTACTGTGTTCAATGAGAGGACTGACCACAGTGAGCAGGTGGAAAATTATGAAAAATTCAAGGACAGTGCATATTTTCTAATTGAACTTGTTTACAACTTAGTAATACATATTTGGTGGATTTTACATTATCATCTTTGGAACTTATTAAATCCTACTAAATGGTACCAATTTACTGCACCAGATATGCATTTCGACAAATAGTGTCCTTTCAGTGATGTAAGAGGCAAAAAAAATTGTAAATTCAAATGTAAAACAAATGAAGAAGATCTGGTATAACCGAAAAGGACCAAAAGTATAGCCAAATCAAGTCAACAAGGAATCATAGCTATGAATTAGGAAGATGAATTCCTCCATTTCAAATGATTACATTGTTGTGATATTGTTTTTGTTACCCCCTGTAATACCTATTTGTTAGTTCTTACATGATCATTCTTTTTAATCTTCTTATTATAGACTAGCGATATTGTTTTTGTTTTTCAATTTGAGATCACCCCGCAGTTAACGTTTTTTAATAGTGGGGTTTGTGTTGCTCAGTCTTTGGTTTTCTATGTTGTGTTTTATATATACTGTTGTTTGTCCTTTGGTCTTTTTTTTTTGCCATGTCGTTGTCAGTTTATTTTTGCCTTTTTGAGATTGAATGTCCTTTTGGTATCTTTTGCCTCTCTAATTACCAGGGCCTAATCTAGGATTTTGGAGACGAAGAAGTGACTTCTCCGGAATTCCGGCGAAGAGTGACTTCTTCTTCCATCAGAGAGTAGGGAGAAGTGAAATTCCATTACCGTTTCAGTTGCATAGTGTTTTTGTGCTTATTACTAAGGAAATTTGTTTATATATGCAATAAAAAATATACTTGCAGTGTTTTTATATAATATTGTACAAAATGTATAATTTATAAATAAAAATGTTTGGACAATATTAGTTGCTATTTATTTATCAACTTGTCAACTTGAATTTAAGTTTTAATAAAATTTGTTGCTAGCCTAGTAATATTAGCATGCATTAATATCATGTGCATCTGCCTCAATTTATTTTTAAGGTCCAGAAAAATATGACTCTCAGTTTATTTGATGACTTTTAATTGACTGGGCAAATGTATTTCACCACTTGCCATAAGTTTGTAAAACATTATTCATTGAATATCCAGGACATCATGTCAGTTGTAAATTCAGATTTTCTTGAAAGATTGTAAGCCTATAGATGAAGATATGTCAATCACATGATGATTAACCGATAAAGAGCTATTTCTTATCATTCTTTTTTATAAAAGATATCTCCCTTATTAACGAATTGGTCGTGAAAAAAAACAAAGTTGTACTGCTGGTCACAAGCTGGCCATGTGTTGTATTTTTGCAATCACATTATCCATCAGCTGTCTTTCTACCTTTTATATTTCAATTTTTATTCAATGAATATAAAAAACTAGATACGCCCACAGAGGTCCAACCCTGAACAGTTGGGGCAAAAATGGACACAATATTCAAGCTTGATTCAGGTCTGAATTTGGATTGTAATTAAATATTTGACATATTATAGGTTTCTGAATAAATGTAGTCAAAGAACTTGAAATTGGTTATATGAATTGAATTTATATTCAATTAAAGATTTCCTGCTGTTGTGCAATACTTAGTAAATCTGTTGTCAGACTATAAACAAATAAAGTTCAATTAATTCTCAATGTCATATTAGAAATTTATGAGAAAAAAAAGGGAGCTTACATCAATAGATATAAACAATTCACCAAAGTTTCATGAGAATTGGTGACAGCATTTTTGAGTTATTGTCCGAAAACTGGAAAATCACCCCTTTTTTTAATGAATAAAACCCCATAACTCAGAAATGTAAAATGTAAAATTTATAAAATTCTAAAGGGAGCTTACATCAATACATACAAACAATTCACCAAAGTTTCATAAGAATTGCTGAAAGCATTTTTGAGTTTTTGTCCGAAAACTGGAAAATCCCCCCTTTTTTTATGAATAAAACCCTGTAACTCGGAAACGTAAAATCTAAAATTTATAAAAATCGAAAGTAAGCTCTTGTCAATAGATATGAACAATTCACCACAATTTCTTGCAAGTTGGTGAAAGCATTCTTGACTTATTGTCTGAAAACTGGAAAATCCCCCTTTTTTTAATGAATAAAACCCCATAACTCAGAAACGTAAAATCTAAATATTATAAAAAACGAAAGGGAGCTCACGTCAATAGATTTAAACAATTCACCAAAGTTTTATGCAAATTAGTTAAAGCATTTTTTAGTTAATGTCCGACATGTTGACGACGGACAGAAGGACGGACAGAGGTATACCATAATACGTCCCGTAAACGGGCGTATAAAAAATCATCCGTTAATTCCCATACTTAACCTACCGATCGACTCGTAATAAATATAAGTAAAACAAAATAAGCTGAGTGATTACGCAACATCCTCAGATGAAAATCATCTTAAAACTCAAACAGAAGCTCAGTTTCCCGTTTTAACAGTTTTGAGTGTTAAATCTGATGATGTTCATAGTTGCCGTTGTATTTATTTCATTTAAACGTTGACAGTATTAGTCCTTGATCGTTTCGAAAATCTCAATTTTTCCTTGTCAGTTGCCATTTTTGTTTACCTGTGCAACTTGAAAATCACAAGTTGTCTCCCTTATACCGATTTTGATAGCGATTTGACTTCGCTAAGAAGTCAGCCGGCTGGCGAGATTTAGCGACTTTGAAATTCTTTGGCGACTTCAGGGGTTAAAAAAATCCACTAGCCCGACGCCCGGGACTACACTTTTACACTTCGGGCAATTAAAACTTGTAACCGAATATGCCCGACTGACTAGTAACAAACAATTCTTGGCATTTCCAAAATAGTAAGTGGAAAATCCCCTCATCACTATTCTATCTTAGCCAATCAGATTCAATTGCGTACGTCATCCGGGATTCCAAGAATTTGAACCGATTTTGTACATGTTTTAAAAATAGAACAACTAACTCTGGGTGGACCGGTATCATGTATTGATCGCAATTCATGTACTTTCAATATCAATTTCTCAGTACAGGGGGTATTGTACATTGCTTATGCCGAGATTTTCAATTAATGGTACTTGGGTGTATGATGTAATGATCGATATTGACCTGTCTTGTCGGACAGCTGTTAATTTGAGCTTGAAACCATGCACAAATTATTTCTAAACATTTTAGTACAGCCACCACAGGAACTTTGTCAGTTTTAAAACGAAAAACGGTAGATGAAGGGGGTAATGAGGCTGAAAATTTATCCCAAAAAATGCCAAATACGACCAGGAAAAGCGGAAAAAAACATTTATAGTGTCATGGACAGAAAGATTCCCCATGGGCAAGGTCGACTGTTACTGATGATAAACAAGAGATGATGTTTTGTGAATATTGCCGTTATTTTCCCGATCTCGCTGATAAAAAGTCTGCTTTGTATGTGGGAACAACAAATATACGAATTGAACCACTGGTTTAACATGACAATATCAATGAACATGTTTTCTGTGCCCGAAAATATTTAACAACCCATAGTACAAGGGATATCCAAAAACATGTCTAGAGATCCTTGTTATAATTAATAAAACAAAAATTTATTTGATTTATTTTATCAAATACCGTGTAAAATGCCGCATTCAAAACAAGGGACACCCACTCTAAATTTGAAAGGTATACTCGGGCTAGCAGGTCAGTTTTGATGGGCTAGCAGCTCTTTCAACAGGGCTAGTAAAATCCTGCTACCAATAAGTCCTGGGCTAGTGAGCTGTAACAAATTTTTTTAACCCCTGGACTTAAATCGTCATTTCGCCAGCAAGATTTTGGCCTGCTCTTACAGAAAATAATGAACTATGTTAAGCGAAAACATATACTGTAGATTCAATATTATTCGTTGGATACCAATTTCTATTATTTTAAGTTACCTCTTCCTCTCTGCATCCCTCCTCTTCTTCCTCTATTCTCACCTCCTCCAAAACCTCCTCTCTGGACAAACCCACCACGCTGACCTCCACCTCTCTGGACAAATCCACCACGTTGACCTCTACCCCTCTGAACAAACCCACCACGCTGACCTCTATTTCCTCCACGAACCATCTGGTTGCCTGTTGGAGATCCTGGGGTACTTCCACCTCCTCCTCTTCCTCCACGACCTCTGCCTCTCATTTGACCTCTTGATCTCATCAACCTGCCTTGACCTCTTCCTCCTCTGACCATTGCTCCACCACCACGACCACCTAGGGTCAAACGAGACTTGACACTTGTGTTTCCAAATCCAAGTCTTTGCTTTAATGATTTCTGAAAATATAATAGTAACAAATTGACTATTGGACAAGTTTTCTACTAGCAACATGAGCAATTATACCAATATAAATTCATAGTCATTTTTTCAGATTCTCAAAAATAAAATCTGCTTACCACACTAGTCCTGAGACAAGGTTTAAGTAGGGACAGTATTGGAACAAGATAATTTTGGGATATATATATCATATATATATATATATCATACTGTGAAAGTACTTTTATTCATGGGTACCAATTTTCGTGGTTTGAGCAAAAGTAACAATTATAACCAGAAGTTATGACACTTATTAACCCGCGATTGAATGATCAATAGATTAACAATCATCAAAGGTGTATACAGCATGGGCCATAAACATGTCACTTAAAGAAAACAGTTACATAAAAAATATTAAATATGTACTTTGAATTGTAGAATAATTAAATCAATTTCTTATAAAGTAAAAAAGCAAGCCCAAAAAGATTTTTTTTTTATACCAGAATTATGAAATGAAATGAACACTTCATCCTCGTATATCATTACTGGAAGTCTGTCTTTCTCCCATCAAAACTAATTTTTCATGAGAATTAGAAAGGTTAATAGTGGAACAGTTTATGTTTTTTGATGATTAAATGGGTTAAATCCTGTCTGAAGTTGTTTATATATATTTCATAGTACGTTTGTTGATAGTCGATGTATTCTCTACATTATATGCCGTATCCATGTAGTCAAACCTACATGGGGATCTTTCCGTGTCATGATTTGGACAACAGTTGTTATAATTTTGTTGGACACTTAAATTCGTGGATAAAGCCATCCAAGACAACCACAAAATTGGAGCCCAACGAATAAAATTTCTTTCACAGTAGTCGCTAAGATCTATATCATGTTTACATTTGTGTATATTCACTTATCTTGTGTATTTTTAAAGCAGAAATTTTGAATACAATGTTTTTTGTGCTTATTTGAATGGACTATTTTTGTAATGTTTTTTACCACAAAAGAAACAGAATGTCCATTAATATAGTACTGGGTGGGCGGGATAGACTAAGCTGTCTACCCAATAGGGGGGAATCAGAATTGACTATCCACTTCATACAATAGGAAAGATTCACATTCAACACTATATGGTCGGCAGGGATAGACAATCCAGAATTTTGGCACCAATCTGTGGACTGTTAAAAAAAGCAAAATTTACTTGACTGTGTCTTGTTGAAAACCATTAGCCGATTTAAAATTTAACAAACCAATGAAAAATGTGTAATGCATTGCAACTTTATTGTTTTTTAATGTGCCCCCTGTTTGCTTGTACTGTCTGGAAGGTGTACATTTTTGGTGGGTGGTAAAGACTTTAATGAAAATAAACACAAATTGAAAATAAAAGTGTTTGTGAGAACTAAAAGAGTCAAGATTGCCTTTAGGAAATATTTTGAAATGGAGTTATCTCCCATTGCTTATAATTGTTGGAAGAATATTATAAATAGATAGATACTTTTTTTCTCAATTCTGCAACTTGTGAATTTCAGTGGCTTGCATTGACATGGGTATGGATAAAATCTATTAATGTTAACCTCACAATAAACATTGCTATATTTAAACTCACAAAAAAAAAACAGTAGAGAAAATGACAAATACATTGCAGCCCAATAGTCAGTTACATTGGGGATTTCACTGCATTTTGTGCAATTTCTTATCCCAAAATTATCAAATATTAAAAAGTTTTCTTACCTTTTTGATTTTCAATGCTGCCTGTACACTTGGCCTGTTTGCCATCTGCATGGCAAGTCTCTTGTTGGCGGCTGTTGCCTGGTGCTGGGCTGCCATCTTGGCCCGGATGTTTGACACGCTGGCTTGCTGGGCTGGTTGCCTCACTGTGGCTTGAATCGTGGAAAATCTTTGGTTGGACGAAGGAAAGAAATGTTATTTATAGTTATGCTGCCATTTTTTGTACATAGGTGCGGCTGATTTTTGTCATGCAACTTCTGAATGAGGGAAATGTTTGAAGACATTGAAGTTTTAAAGCAGAAACCTCGAATCTACACAAGAAAACAAACTTATCAACACAAGAAAACAAATTGAAGAAAAGAAAAAAGATATTCAACTGCAATGGTCGGGCAAAAAAATCAATACAAAATATAAAATAGACAAAATAATTACCAATAAAAAATTAAGGATAAACTTAGGTAATCTAAAAGGGTAAGCAGTCCATGTCATATATATAGCTATAGGTGACTCATGATGCGAAGAGGTAGACAAATCATTCAAAACCTTTGGAAAAAGCCAGAGAAGACTTGTTAATTTTATGGTTAATAAATAAATTAATGAATAGAAACCAATTGGCGAAGTGGAAAAATATGTGACAGAATCTACCAATACCATGTTCATTTTATCCATTGAAAAATTGCAAATCGCTACAATAGTACAATACCAAAACAGGCATCAGCGAAAACAACTGTTTTTTTCCATATTGAAATATTACCAAATTTTTTCTATAATAATCACGTCATAATTTCCAAAAAGTTAAGGAACACCATATTTTTGAACGATCAGTACAAGTAACGTTTGCTTCCTGTTAGTCCTGTGTCGGACAGATTAAAACTGCATGAATGAGGAATCAATAGACAGATTTTTCTAAGATATTTGAAAATAGATGTGCAAAATGAAATTACCAGTAAGAAATACCTGACAACACTTGAACTGAAATTGGAAATAATATGCAAAATAATGAAGAGAGCAGTTTTCAAGATCCAAGAAGGCACTGTTTGGCATTGAGTTCTTTGAACAGATATCAGCATACATGTACATTCTACTCAATATCATCACCAGGCAGAAAAGGTAATGTAACACAAAACATATCACCAGACATTATTTTGAGACACAAAACTCATCACCAGACAACGTCATGTGACACAAAACTCATTACCAGACAACATCATGTGACATAAAAACTCATCACCAGACAAAGTCATGTGACACAAAACTCATCACCAGATATGATCTCGAGACACAAAACTCATCACCAGATATGATCTTGAGACAAAAACTCATCACCAGACGTCATGTGACACAAAACTCATCACCGGACAACATCATGTTATACAAAACTCATCACACGACAACATCATGTGATACAAAACTCATCAACAGACAATGTCATGTGACACAAAACTCATCACCAGAAATAATCTTGAAACACAAAACTAGTTTAATACTAGTTACCAGAGGTGATCTTGAGATAGAACATATGCATGTGCATTATCAGATATATATGGTTAAATGAGCCAGAAGGCAAGTGATAGAACATTAACAGCATTGCCATCAGTTCTGAACATGATATACAGAAATCATTTGAAAGGGGTCATGTGATCATGGTGATAGCAGAAATCATGTGACCATGGTTACAGAAATAAACTGCTTCGCTGAGCGCAGCTAGATACGCCCGCAGAGGTCCAACCCTGAACAGGGGCAAAAATGGACACAATATTCAAGCTTGATTCAGGTCTGAATTTGGATTGTAATTAAATATTAGACATATTATAGGTTTCTGAATAAATGTAGTCAAAGAACTTGAAATTGGTTATCTGAATTGAATTTATATTCAATTAAAGATTTCTTGCTGTTGTGCAATACTTAGTAAATCTGTTGTCGGACTATAAACAAATAAAGTTCATTTAATTCCCAATGTCATATTAGAAATTTATGAAAATAAAAAGGGAGCTTACATCAATAGATATAAACAATTCACCAAAGTTTCATGAGAATTGGTGACAGCATTTTTGAGTTATTGTCCGAAAACTGGAAAATCACCCCTTTTTTTAATGAATAAAACCCCATAACTCAGAAATGTAAAATGTAAAATTTATAAAATTCTAAAGGGAGCTTACATCAATACATACAAACAATTCACCAAAGTTTCATAAGAATTGCTGAAAGCATTTTTGAGTTTTTGTCCAAAAACTGGAAAATCCCCCTTTTTTTATGAATAAAACCCTGTAACTCGGAAACGTAAAATCTAAAATTTATAAAAATCAAAAGGGAGCTCATGTCAATAGATATAAACAATTCACTACAATTTCTTGCAAGTTGGTGAAAGCATTCTTGACTTATTGTCCGAAAACTGGAAAATCCCCCTTTTTTTAATGAATAAAACCCCACAACTCGGAAACGTAAAATCTAAATTTTATAAAAAACGAAAGGGAGCTCATGTCAATAGATATTAACAATTCACCAAAGTTTTATACTAATTGGTCAAAGCATTTTTGAGTTAATGTCCGACATGTTGACGACGGACAGACGGACGGACAGACGGACGGACAATGGTATACCATAATACGTCCCGTAAACGGGCGTATAAAAAGGAACTTCAATGACCATCAACAGAGAAGTAATGGGATAGAATTGAAATAACTCCTCCTGATCATAAGTGATAGTCATGATAGTATCATACTACAGGTACAAATGTATGAAAGAAAATCTAAGTGACCATTACATGAGAATAAATGTTCCAATTGTAGAAAAATATCAGCAAATAGATGTCCTCACATTAAGTAAGCTTAAAAAGTTATTTCCCCATCTGATATATATATGCATTTTCAGAGCCTGTTTAATAATTTTCAATTAAAAATCAAATTTTTGAATACTTAAAAAATAATTTCTCTATACCATTACATCTCGTCTAAAAATACAGTCAGCTTTGCAAGAGGTCATTGAGGGGTTTTTATTCATAGACTTAGTATAATAAAATGATTTATGAACTAACAGTTTTCATGATTATAGCAAAAAATTTTTTTTAAATTATTGGTCAGGCCATTCCCCCCAAAAAAATATGTCTGTTTACGGTTACCCAACCGACCCTACTTTTGAGCGACGACCCACAAAAAATAAAATAAAATGGAAATACCGACCTACCTACCCCATTTTTTTAAAGTATGTAACCTTAAACAGACATATATTTTTTTTTTGCCTCATGTGGTTTTTCACATTTCATCCTTAACTAAGTATATGTTTTGTTAAATCCTAATTCTGTAATTTCACAACTCATTCAAAGACCTGATGTACGGAGTTATATATGTTGTGGTTTACAAATTTCTATATAAACTGACCACCTTATGAGTAGAATTTAAGAAACAGTCCTGTTTCTGTTTTTTATTCATTACACAAGTTTCAAATAGGAAATCAGAAATGTTAAAGATTACATCTTTTATTTTTGGTATTCACTTTTAACCAAACAAAAAACATGCAAGAAAATTTGAAGCTTTTCAAATCTAGAAATTTTCAAGCCTTGTACATGCATGCATAGTAAAGTTAAGTCATGTAAGTATAGCATCTGGATTTTTGTCATTTTGCTATCAAATGCCATGAATGGCACTGCTTTGTGCATGTAATTAGCTCTTGCTTAGTCTTATTGCAACTTTTTCTGTTTTGCCACTTTCTTTGTCAAATTTAAGCCTCTTTGACTCTTAGTTATTGTCCTTTTTCACCTGATGCCAACAGGTTTGGACTAGTTACTTAACCATACATGTAAAACATGTAAAATGATAGACTAGCATGCAAACATGCAATCAGACTCATTTGTCCTGTTAAGTGGCAAAATCATGCTTTATGCCTTTTTGCACGTTTGAGCAGTGGCACTTTTTCAATATGGCATGCATAACTTGTTACTGTCTTTGTCTTTTTTAATGGCCGTTATAAAAGACATTTGGCCTCAGAGAAGACTTGTGGCCTTTAGAAATGACCCTTGGCCATTAGCTATAGAGAAGTGACAGATAGAGAGAAAAAAATCTCTCTAAATTTCTTTCCTTCCAACTTTTCCAGGCATTCTCTGCCAGGAACATCCTCCTCCTTCTCCTCACCTATCATTCAAAGACATCTTAGTTGTACTCTTCAGAACAATCTTAGCTGGAACCGCCATCTTTCTTAAATTATCTGAATAATCTGTTAAGGAAACTTTAAATGTCTAAAAGTAAAACATAATTATAGTAGTTTCAGAAGAGGAGGATTTTGAAAAAACTACTTTTGGTCATATTTGACAAATTTTCTGAAATAGTCATTCTTTGATTTTTTTTATTTTTACAGTTTCAGCTTTTTCTTCAATAAACCTAGATTTTTCCCATGCATGTAGACTGACACTTCCCCTTTTTTAATTTCTAATAATTATAGATTATTGAGGGTTTTTCAAACGAGAGGGTGTTTCCTAGCTACAATCTCATCGAAGGGCCATAGCCCCAAGATGAGATGTGGCCGAGAAACATCCTCGAGTTTGAAAGACCATTGATAATCTGTTTATCGCTATTTTGCCTATGACATCGTTAATTTTTACACTGACAACGGCACATGTGCTCTTAGTTTCTGACGATAATTTTCTATCTCAAGCGAGTAGCATGATATGAAAAATTATCACAAAAAAAGATCAAAGGAAAAATACACAAAATAGCGATTATTGTCCATATGTGTGTTTTCAGGTTTCTATGGACCCCATGGACCTGAGTCATAAACATGATAAAACCTTACTCAATACTCGGAGTACAAAATTTGTGAACGAAACACCAAATCCAATAGTTTGATTGGTTGATTTTTTAGTCTGAGTACTATAATCATGCTCAAAAGTTTTATGACCGCAAAGCCTACGCTCATCTGTCATAACACTACTCAGTACTCAGGAGTATAAAATTTGTGCTGGAAACACCGAATCCAGTTTTTTAATTGGTTGATTTCTGAGTCTGAGTATATTAATTATACTTAAAAGTTTTATGACCCCAAGCCCAAGTCAATTAGGGCAGTTCCATCATAAAAATGACAATACAATATCTTGTTTCAATTTAAACCATGTTATTTAAAGTTATCGATCTCTTTAACCTGTTTTCGGGTAATCAGTGTACCCAGAGAGTAATTTAATCATAATCATGATAATGGGGCCGGAGTTAGAGATACATCTTCACTCAAAAGAATTAAAATACAAAGGTATAAAAGTGGACTTTTCACTAATTGTTTACTTCTATAATACTTTTAATAGCTTTGTTGTCTAAGGCTTCAGAGCAAATGCAAATGCGATTTCCGTTAAAATTAATTTTTCCAAGAGGGATAACTTGTTAAAAATATTTAATCAGCATTTATTTACCAGTCTGTGCCAAAAACTTTTCAAAGCACTAGCTCATAGGGCTAGTTGAATAAAAAAAATTACTAGCCCGAATTGATGTTTACTAGACCTGAAAAATTTTGTGTCACTGGTGAGCATCACGAAGTGATCCGAACCTTCTAGGAGGGTTTGGGGGCATGCCCCCCCCCAAGAAAATTTTGGAAAATTAGATGTAAAATCCTGCATTCTGAGGTTACATTTTTGTATCTGTAAGTGAATATAACTTATAAAAAATTGTTGTTTTTTTCTCCAGGTCAAATGTAAAATTCTCATTTTCTCCAATAAAAAATTAGAATAGTTCTTTTGCAAAAAAAAAAAAAATCTTTTTTCCATAAACTCGTACCATTTCAAGTAAAAAGACATTTTAAGCACTAGTAAATTATTAATTAACTTAGGGATTGTTACTTTTTTGGGGAAAAATTCCCTCATTGTCATTGATGGATGATCCCAACCAGTTTAAAATTATTCCTAATATTCTTTCATATTTTTGTTAGTCTTAACAAGGATTCTTAAATGTCAAAGTTTAGTTAATTCTCTGGCACTTCTTTTTGATCTGGAAGGGGCCTTCATTTCTGTATTCTTTATTTTTTATGTTATTTTTCTCAATTCTTTATGTTTTGTCAATTTTTTTTCTAAACAAATATTCTTTATGTTTTTTTGCCCATTATTCTCTATTCTATAAACCCCTATCAACACCCTCTTTATTGTCACTTTCGCCGTTAATTTTGACTTTTGTTTAAAATAATAAAATGCCTAGATTGTTTTCTGCATAGGTTTTTTAAACTCGAAACTTCTCCGGTTATTCATCATGTTCATGAAGGCATTTTCAACTTTTCAATGTTTTACCTGGGATAGCCCCTGTTTCCATTTCAGAAACGAATGAGATCGAATCCTTGATTGTTTGTTTACATTGAGTGGTATTTATAGATTGTGTTTATTGCAAGCACATGGTCGAGCCTTGTTCTCGATTACGTTGGTGATTGGGTATATCGCGTTGACGACTGGTTCCCTTTGATAAGAAGGGGGAACAACCGTATATAATTAAATAGGGATACCAGTTAAAGGAAGAAAACAAGGTCGGCAACAAATTTGTAACTTGTTTTTCATAGATTCAATAAAATACCGGCTACAATTTCAAAAACAATTTCAGATGTTCACAAGACCGGTCAGCAAACACCAGTGCTTCTGCACAAGTCCGATGAGATTTTTACTAGACAGGGGCTTCGGGCTACCGCCTAACGTCGCAGACTGATTTACGCTAATTTGTGCTGATATAAAACTATGATATAATTTTCATATCATTCTGGCAAGAATTGTACACCTGAGAGCACTAAAGATGTAATTTTCCATATAATTCATGTTTTCGAGGGGCATAACTCTTTGAAAAATAATTGATCTACACTGATTTTCATACTCGTCCCAGACATAATTTGCTGATTATATAAACCTATGTTGCAAGTTTCATAAAAAATAATGAAAAATCTGACATGAATTGTCAATTGTACACGCGAGACCTCTAACAAGTACAGACAGACACCTGGTATTTCTATGTCCCCCGCAACGGGTTCATGGGGACAATAATTCATTGGGATTATGCTCCTTTTAACAAGTGGGATGAGGTCTGTGGGGAGTTGTCCGGCAGAGGTCTTTCTGTTTATTACGGCAATTTTTTGCCAGTGTTATAATGAGTATGATGGCCATGAGTGTATTTCTCCTGGGGTTCTCGACCTCGAGCAATCAATTGGATGGGGTTATAATCCTTTGGGGAGAAAAGGGAGATCGTAAGTCCCATCGACATCGTAAATTATTTGATAGGGTGACAACCTTTGCCATAGGAGTCGGCTTATTTTTCAGTCATGGTCAACTTATAAATCTGTAAAACCTGCACCAAAATATAAATTGTAAGATAAGGATACATAAATGTTTGTTGAAATCTGTTAAAGTTTCGAATCGACTTCGATGAAGTTAGATGATGTTTTTCTGATTCTGCAAAACATAAAACGTCAACAAACCGATACCGGAAGTTCATAAAATTGTTACAACTATTCGGGTCCAAATAATAATAAAAAATAAAATGTGAAATTGTCTTATTCTAGTACTGAATTCTAATTTTAATAGTTTTTTTAAACAGAAAAATAGAATTTAAAAATCAAAAACTCAAAATCTTTGTAAATTGTGATTTCGAAGAGAATGGACGAATCAATAAAATGCAGTAGGGGTGTTTTCTAATGTTCCTATTAGAATTGTTTGCATATTTTATAAAATAATGGTTTCTTAGATTGACAATAACATGTGAATTTGCCTTCGTATAAATATTGATAACTTGTATTATTTTAATCCGATTTAATCGCATGAAAGACATTACAATATTGTGTCACACCAATCTAACATACCCATAGCAACGGTTGTTTCTAGGCTCAACAACATTCAGTGTACAGCTCTTGAAGAACTTTGAACATTCCAACAAAATGGTAAGAGTTTTGAAGAAGTCCGAGCAAGAATTAAATAAATTTGACATTAGAAATGTAGACTTACACTGTATCCTTTACATTTCAAATTGTTGTCATTATCAAATTCATTATTTACTATCACAGATAAAGTCAAAGCTGAAAGAGCACTCAAAATTGTGTACTATCCAGTTTAAAAATCATGACTTCATATGTTCTTCAAAGCCTTATTCAAACTGGGGTAGAAAATGCATAAAACGCAAGGTCCAAGACTTCCTAACGTTGATTTCATTCTTTTGCATATTTGGCAACACAGCGTTGTCAGACCTGTCATGAATAAAATTTACTCGCAAGTCAATAACCTTATCACTGTTTGTCCACCATTACAGGACACCACAGATGTTCCCATAAAATTTCATGAGAAAATATCTGACAGCACAAAGAAAAAGTGATTGTTGTATGACATGAATAGTTCGTGTTGCAAATTCTTCGGTTGGTGTTGCAGATTCACAAATAAAGATATGGTCTTTAGTCTTTAGAAGTGTCAACTTGACACTATAATCTCTCTGTACTTTTGATCACTCTGGTAATTTTATGTCACTATTGTATAAAACTCATTATGCTTAAACTTGAGACCTTCCACTAGAATTGGCTATGTGAAAGATCTATATATACATGTATGTTGTTCAATGTGCTTATCATGTTGCAGGACACATTTTTATCATTCCTTTTCTGTTATGGTTCGAATTGTTATTCACACCAGTGCTGTATTTACACCTTTTATTCCTTCAAGTTTATGTTTTGTCAATGAACATGATGAAGTTATGTGATATAAATACATGTGGTGTCATTAGTGTCAATGTGATAGATTTCCCTGACCAGTGCTTGATGACAGGAGATGTTTACTCATTTTTAACTAATAAACTAGTCAATGATGCAAATGATTTTATTTATATTTACTTCTGTGTTACTACCAAAGTTGTAGCTGCATTGCTTGGTGGGTCTCTTTAGCAGACAATTATTTAAGCGTAAACAGTGAATACGACTGGTCAACTTTTGGAAGTTTTCCAAGTTGGCAACCATTATACATGGAACACAATGTTCAAGATTACCAAAAAGAAGTTTATTTATCCTTGAACAATGTTGTACATACATGTATAACAAATAAAGTTAGACCAAATAAAAATGTATGGCTGGTATCAGTTACCCGACTGACCCTTAAGTTTAAACCCCCCCACCCTAGATCTTTTTTTCAATTTGTAAAATAAATTTTGAACGATCCCATTTTGCAGAATGTGAATTTCATTAATTAATTTCACAGACTTTTGTCATTTGAATTTTCATTAGAAGTATCCACTACAGCTAAAAATGCAACAAATTCTTAATAGAATGCAACAAAATTAACTAAAAACGTAACATGTCTGCTTATTTTACAAACAAACATATAGAAAATGGCTAACTTCCAGTAGGAGCCTTGTTTAATACCAGAATTAGACTCCGTAAACACACATTTTTTTTCCAGATTTTGACAATAAAAAAAAATTAAAAATTGAACAAAAAAATGCTGACCTACATTTTGTACCAACCATATCTTTTTTGAGGATGTAACTGGAACCACACATATATTTTTATTTGGCCTAAGTTAGCATTTTATTACAACATAAAAAACTGTCTGAAACTAAACCTGGTCTTCATCAATATCTGCAAAGTTGTTCAAAAAATTAATTCATGTCAAGTTGTCTTTGTTTTAACCATATCATGCATATGGTGTAGTTTGGTTAATTATTTTTCCCATATGCCCTTTCATGTATGTTATTCTCTCATATTGCAACATGAAGATTTGATTAAAAAGTTAATTTTATCACGTCAACGACTTTATATTTGACAAAACTGTAGATAAATTTACAAGTTATTTGCATTGAAAATAATAATCATGTTGTCATATTGACCAATTTGTCCTACATTTTGTCCTAATAAAGAGGCAATCTGAATCATAAATTATCATAGTGATGTTTTTTTTTCTTTGTATTGAAAAAATTAAAAAGTCACAATTCAAACAAAGAATGTACTTTAGACATAATTATAACCTTTGTAGATTTGATTTGATGGCATCACTTTTAAACTTAGAGCAGTTAGGAGAACAGAAAAGAACTTGTACATCATGACTACAACCGTTTTGGTTTTAAAATTTAATATGAAAAATATTTTCAGTCTGAACCCTTTGGTGAAATGCTACAATTTTTCTTTGTCTATTTTTTTTTATTATTAATCAATTGTTAATATTCAGACAACTGTTCGGAGACTCACTGCCTCTGAGAGGGAACGGCAGTTACAGAACTACCGTCGGCATGAAGAAGTACGGGAAGACACCATCCGTCAGTTAGGTACCCAGAAGTTGTTAGAGGCTAATATGAGTAATGAAGAAAAACTCTCAGAGAAACGTTACATCAGACGAATGATGATGGAGCAGAAAGAGAGAGAAATGGAGGACACGATTCTTAAGGTTTGTGCTAAACTAAGTTTAATTAGTTTTTTCTTAGAATAACTTTCTAAAATATATTATCCTACACAAAAAAAAAGTATGTTTGAAAACATTTTTTTATTACACTTTTTATATTAGTTTTTTTTTTATTCACAGATATTATTCATTACATAAAAAATACATTTATAAAACTATTTTATGCACAGATATGTGATATGTCAAATCAACAGGTAATATTTACCATAAATATAAGGACTGACTAGTGGTAAAATTCAGAAGAAATCACAGACTATTATAAATTATTGTAATACTGTTCTAGAAAAATACCATAAAAAATGGAAGTTTTTTTACTTTAGTTTGTAAATTTACATCAGCTTCGAAGATGACAAAAATTACAATACATATAGGTTACTAGTAGTGAGGATTCATTATTATTCGTTGGATACCAAATTTCGTGGATTTCATAATAACGTGGGAACCATGAATTGCAATTTCCTACAGATTACAAATTTTCTAGAATGTAAGCAAATTTTGGCAAAACCACGAAATCAAATATCCACGAAAATGCAAGTTTTCCTCAATCCATGAAAATTGTTACCCACGAAAATAAATGTATCCACAGTATTTTATTTACATATATATATAGGCACAGAGAGACAGATTGATCAGAGAAGAACAGATGTTACAAGAAGAAAGATTGGCTCAGGAAATGGAGAAACATAAACTTGAAGGAATGAGAGATGAAAAAATGAGACAACAAATAAGAGAAACAAGGTACAGATAATTTACAGTGACCATAGCTGTCAATACTCCAGATGTCGACTAAAGTTTCTCTTTTTTATAATTTCCCATCTGGAATCTCTTACTCTGTGCTCTAGTTTTACTATTAGCATATTGTTACTAGATAAAAGAAGATGTGGTATGAGTGCCAATGAGACAACTCTCCATCCAAGTCACAATTTGTGAAAAGTAAACCATTATAAGTAAAAGTACGGCCTTCAATGCAGAGCCTTGGCTCACACCGGACAGCAAGCTATAAAGGGCCCCAAAAATGACTAGTGTAAAACCATTCAAACAGTAAAACCAACGATTAATCTATATAAAAAACGAGAAACATTTATGAACCACATCAACAAATGACAACCACTGAACAACAGGTTTCTGACTTACCTTTGCCAAGGAATATGTCATAATTTATGGTTATAACGATGAGAGATTATTTATTTAGATATATTTTTTCTTCATTTGAAATAGTCATTCATTGAAAGGACACACACAAAAAATATACAAATCTGTAAAAATGCTCACTTTTCATAAAGAAAAAATACTCTTTCAATTTACAGTAATTTAAAAAAAAAAAACAATTAACATTTTCAATGATTTTTATGAAATTATGCAAGCTACTAGGGCACAAGAAATACATGTTCGCATAAATTTAAAAAAAAAATCATAGAAGTAACTTTATACATTTTATCTGCTTCTGCACTATGATGTAATGTAAAACCATGAATTTTTTGTTTAGAATTTTGACTCTATCATTTTCATTCCAAAGAAATTTGCATTGCATGTTTAGTTTAATCAATTTTGATATATTTTTGCAGCCTTGAGCTTCGAGAGCTGGAATCCAAACTGAAGGCAGCTTACATGAACAAAGAAAGATCAGCTCAAATTGCTGAGAAGGAAGCACTGAAATTTGATAAGATGGTAACTATTCATTTAATGATGCAAGTTAAAAAAAAAATTTCAATCACTCATGCATGGATTTTAAAAAGATTTCGTCCTGGGTATTGGACTTTCCTAGTAATAGTACTAATACATAAAAAATAAATAAAATTTATACACTTACCATCGGAATAGTTTTCAACCATTTTTTACGATAAAGTACAACAATAATAGATAAACTCTGAATTTAGTAACTTCATTTGCATTGTACTATGTTTGACTCATTTTCTGTTCAACATTACATAATTATGTTTAGTATCCTATAGTAACGTCAACAATAGACAATTATGACGTCACATACAAGATACCATTTTTTTGTTCTTCAGGGGGTTCTAATTTTGTATACTTTGTCCTGATGACGCTGATCTAATCAGCGAAACATGTCGACAATAAAAGATGCAGTTTACTTAAGTGTTGTTGTCAATATAGCAGTATTTAATACATAAAAAATGATAGCCAAAATCGACAAAAATACATCACGGTACAACAGACCTCAACGACCACCAACATCCTACTCTTCTGGAGAAAAAAAACAGATATGCAAACAAAAACAAACAACTGACAATTTATGGTACAGATTGCAGTGAAATTATCTCCCCTTAATAATTTGAGGGATTATGATTTTCACATTGTTACTTGAATCAAGCATGACATTTTGAAATTGTCTGACCTTTGTAAAGTGAAGAATTTCTCCTATATCTAATTATAAGAGCAACAAAAAATGCATCTCAATCCACATTTTATCACCTACTTAGTCAGTTATATCAACTTATTCCTGAACAAATTAATTGCGATTAGAACCTGAAATTCATTGATAAGAGTACACTAAGATATAACCCATATGAATCATCTTTATTTATGCAGTGAATAAAATTCAGAAATGTTGGAAATGTTTTTTTTATGAAAACAGTTCTGTGGATAATTGTCACATTCTAGAACTCACATTTTAAATTCTGATGACTATTTATATGAAGAAATATCTTATCAGTGCATTTTAACTAATGTTAAATTTTATTATAGTCTATTGAACTACAATAAGATGATAAATGCACACAAAAATTGTTGAATTTAAAGTAATGATTTATGTTTTTTTATGTTACAATAAATGTTCATGTAATTTTTCACATGTTATTTCTTTTTTTTTAGAAACGAGATTCGGAGATTTCCCGACAGATGAAGGAAGAACATGAGAGAGCAGGTGAGGCTGAGAGACAGAGGGAAGTAGAAAGATACAAGGAGCAGATCCGATACCAACAGGAACTAGAGAGACAACTAGAGGAGCAGGAACACAAGAAACAACAGGCCTACGAGGAATTCCTCAAAGAGAAACTCATGATTGACGAAATTGTCAGGAAGATTTATGAGGAGGACCAAAGGTAAGTTCATACTTTACAATAAAAATCTCATTGAAAAATTCACTGTTTCAGAATCAAATGCATTTTATTGGTAATATTTTCAAAATCTTACACCAAAATGCAGTGATTGGCTAACAACATCTCCAATAATTGAAATTCAACCAATGATGTGACATAATTTTCATTGTGAAAACGTGAAACGAAGTCGTGCAGGACACGCGAAATTACAAGCGTTATTATTGCAATGATAAGTGGAATATGGGAATCTGATAAAACAATAAGCGGGATCCGGGATCTGAAACCTTCAATTAGACCCCACTGATGAGTCCGAGACTGATGCAACCATTACCGATTTGACACAAGGATATTTTTAAAAAATGGTTTAAAACTATTTCTTTGGCATTCTGGGTACAGCTGATTTCTGAAGTTTCTAAAGCCAATAAATACTATGACTTAAGACACAGTTGTGCATAATAAAATCATTTAAATGGTGAACAGGCAGGGAAGACATGAAATGTTCATGTCACAATATTTTCACACAAATCATGACATAATTTTTAATAAATAGATTACTGATTTGTTTTTATTAGTTTAGAATTTTATATGCAAAATATCTGACGTTACAAGTCAATAACTTCCTGCCAAACTGCAAACCTGAATAAACTGACCAACTGTCCAAACTGACCTTTTTCATAGTTCTAAAGCCAACCGGTTTATACAGATTTTACTGTATATATAAGGCAAGCTTGCAAATGAGACGACTGTTCAACAAACACAAAAAAGCAAGAAATTAAACCCCTTGATAAGTCACTGTTTGCAATGGCATTGACATTCAAGCGAATTTTTATCCTTTTCTTTTAAATTAGCATCTTGCTGTTGGATAAAATATTTAAAGTTAACATTTAACATTATAGAGAAAGAGAGCTTGCTATGGCCAAACAGAAAGCCACACAAGCCTACATAGAAGAGTTCAAGAATGCTAGGGAGGAATGGAAAATCAGAGAGAGACAGCGCATGGAAGAGGAGAATATTAAAATCCGGGAATTCGCCAGACTACAACAATTACGAGAAAATGAAAGAATGGAGAGTAAAAAAGCCAAAGAAGCATCCATGGCTCGTGTTCAAGAGGCTGTAAGTTAAGAATAGATTTAGAGATTCCATTTATTTTAAATCAGGGTGTTTTATGACTGTCCTACTCCAAAAAAAACCAATTACATGAGAATGGACAGTTAATAACTTTAAAGAGGCTCCCATCCTATAAACAACCTGAAATTAACCTGAACTTCATTTATTTTAAATTTGAGATATTTTTCAGAATCACTTAAAAAATTCTAAGTAAACTTTTTGTGAGATTTTCTACAGATAGTAATCATAAGCATAGTTTTGTATTATTCACAAGTTTCATTTAAGGAAACAGACTATGATATCAGTAAACAGCTTGTTTTCAGACCCTCAAGTTATTCAGTTGTATTTATAATTGTGTAAATATGTCACTTATTTTTAATTAATGAAATATGTTAACACTCATATTTCAGTTGGCACAAGATATTTCTAGAAAGGACGAAGAAAGGGAAGAGATGGAGAGAGTCCGAATGGAATTATACCAGGAAGAACAAGAAGAGAGAGAAAGACAAAAAGAAAGAGTAAGTCATATGATAAAGAGTTTCCTATAGGCAATGGTACCATGACATTGATGCCAACTACTGTGGATTCATTATTTTTCGTTGGATTTCGTGGGTACAGGTGAACACCGAATTTTAAAGTTCAACGAATTTCAAATTTTCCATTGACTTGTATGCAGACTTTGGCAAACCATGTAATTAAATGTCCACGAAAATGCAAGTTTCTTCAATCCACGAAAAAATTGGCACCTACGAAAAAAAATGAATTCACAGTATAACACATTTTCCTCATCTTTCCCCTAAAGGAGAAGGGTGCATTTTTTTTATATCCATTTTGAAGCTTTTTACCTGATGGTAGTTGTGTAATGCTCATTCAAGTGCTGGAAAGAATTAGATTATCAAATAGTTTAAAGTTTCTCAACATTAACTATAAAAGTTATGACAGTCAAGTGTGAAAAAAAGTTCAATGGACCTGCAAGCTAACTCAACATTTTACATCTTCACAAAAGTGGTAACTTGTAAATTATTTTCTTTTGGCTGATGTCTTGGAATATTCATACTAGTTTCTATTTCACAAGTTTGAATTTTAAGAAAGATTGTTCCCCCTTGGCTTGCATTAAAATTGACAACTTGAAATTTTTCATCACATATGTCTTTACAGAGTGATTTGCTATCTGGTCTGGAATTTTTTTTAATATTACCATAGTTTTGCTAAAGAATAATCACAGAAAAGAAATTCATAAACATTTTGCATAATTATCTAAAAATGGTTCTTGGTTGTAGGGATATTTTGAAAGTCCCTTCCTACCCTCCAACATACATTTTAATGGAATAGCCCTCATATGATTCGGAATATTAAATATCGGCATTCTTACACATTTTGATTTTTATACGACCGTAAAAAAAGTTTTAGTGAATGGATCTCTATGATATTTTACCATAAGGTTCAACACCACAAAAGGAAGGTTGGGATTGATTTTGGGGGTTATGGTACCAACAGTTAAGGAATTAGGGGCCAAAAAGGGGCCAAAAATAAGCATTTTTGTAACTTCCAGACAGTAACTTGTGTGTTAGTGTATGGATCTCTCTGACATTGTACCAGAAGGTTCCATATCACAAAGGGAATGCTGGGATTGATTTTGGGGGTAATTGCTTCAAAATTTTAGGAATTAGGGGCCAAAAAAGGTGCAAAAACAAGCATTTTTTTAGTTTCAGGACAATAACTTGTGTGTAAGTATATGGATCTTTCTGAAATTGTACTACAAGGTTCCATATCACAAAGGGAAAGCTGGAATTGAGTTTGGGGGTAATTGCCCAAAACGTTTAGGAATTAGGGGCAAAAAATAAGCATTTTTCTAGTTTCCAGACAATAACTGGTGTTCAAGTGTATGGATCTCTCTGAAATTGTACTGCAAGGTACCATACCACAAAGGGAAGGCTGGGATTGATTTTGGGGGTAATTGCTTCAAAATTTTAGGAATTAGGGGCCAAAAGGGGCAAAAAACAAGCATTTTTCTAGTTTCAGGACAATAACTTGTGTGTAAGTGTATGGATCTTTATGACATTGTACTACAAGGTTCCATATCACAAAGGGAAAGCTGGGTTTGAGTTTGGGGGTAATTGCCCCAAACGTTTAGGAATTTGGGGCCAAAAAGGGGCCAAAAAACAAGCATTTTTCTAGTTTCCAGACAATAACTTGTGTTCAAGTGTATGAATCTCTCTAAAATTGTACTGCAAGGTACCATACCAAAAAGGGAAGGCTGGGATTGAGTTTGGGGGTGATGAATCATAAGGGGGTTCAAAAAATTGGAGGGGGGGGGATTTTTTTTTTCCTTTTTTTTTCTTTAAAATTTTCCATTTTTAATTTGGTTATTTCTGATTTATATATAAAAGCAAATAATAATGATATGGATTGAATAGGTAAATTACAAATTTTAAGTTCTTAGACCACATTCATTCTGTGTCAGAAACCTATGCTGTGTCAAATATTTAATCACAATCCAAATTCAGAGCTGTATCAAGCTTGAATGTTGTGTCCATACTTGCCCCAACTGTTCAGGGTTCGACCTCTGCGGTCGTATCAAGCTTCGCCCAGCGGAGCTTTTTTTTTTTATATGTATTAAATGTTCTTTAATACTTTTATATATATTAAATGTTCTTTAATACTTTTATATATATTAAATGTTCTTTAATGCTTTTATTTATCGCTATTTTATGAAATTTTCCTTTGATCTTACTGACTGATAATTTCCTTTCTCAGCACAGTAGAGTGATATGAAAAATTATCGCTAGAAACTAAGGGCGCACATGTCATTGTCAATGAAATTAACAACATCGTGATAGGTAAAATAGCGATAAACAGATTATCATTGGTCATCTCAACTTGATTGCTTTTCTCACTATCGCCGTTCCGGCTCAAGCGAGAAAACAATCTCGATAATCTTTAAATATATTAAATGTTCTATAATACTTTTATATATATTAAATATTCTGTAATACTTTTATAGGAAGACATGGAGAAACGTATCAGGCAAAAGTTGGAGTTACAAGAAACACATGCCCAACAGATGCACTTCAAAAATCTGCGGAGGAAGGCAGAAGAAGATGAAGAAGAAGAATTTAGAAGACAGGTAAGTGTTGCTATGGTTTCAAAGATGACATCCTTACAAAGCAATCGAAAGTCGGTAGTACTCTCCTTGCACACAGGCTTCTTCCACCAATAAAAACTCACCACCATGAAATATCACAATAGTGTTGAAACTGGCATTAAATACCAATCAATCAATCAATCCTTACAAACCCGGGATTCAGTGATTTCAGTTTATTTATTTTATTTGTTTAATATTTTAAGTAACAAAGTAAAAGTTTTATTCTTTGATATAAAAATTATGCATATTTTTTTAATTCTAATCAGAAATTATTAAATCTTTTTTCTTAAGTGTCAGATTTTTTTATGTTGAAGTCTTGACAATTTTTATAGAAGATTCTTATCGTCATGTACTCAAACATAACACTTCCTCAAATCACTTGTTTTAAAGTAAATCAGTCCTTATTTTCAAAGTGTTTCACCAACATGCATGAGTCTATTTAAAACAGAATTTTTAATGATTTATTCAATTACTTCACTTATTTATTCATCAAACCCTAATATAAAAAATTTCTTGAAGAAAATGTGTTACAATATTCACAGTTTAACATGAGTTGATTGATTTAAACAGAAAAAAAAATGACTTTATTGTGCAATTATTTCTATGAAGGGTCCATAGGTGGCCTCTTTGCATGGAAGAAATTCAGTCACTATCTGACATGTCCTCTTTTTTTCTTGTGACAGACAAAATATCTTACAGTACCTGTGACTTCATTTCAGACCAATCACTTTATACTTGACTTTTACATTTTGTTTAAGTGTTCATTTTGTTCTGAACCATAATATGCATGAAGTATTTGCAACTGGACATTAATCAAAGAAAATCTATCCTCAATTTGTCAGCCATCAGATCTTGATCATCTGAGTCAACATTAGGTCAGTACTTTGCTTATTCTTTTCAGATGTTGGCCAAATTTGCAGAGGATGATCGCATAGAACAGATGAATGCTAACAAACGTAGAATGAAACAGCTGGAACACAAGAGAGCAGTTGAGGACTTAATTGATAGAAGACGAGACCAGTTTGCTGCCGATCGTGAACGTGAGGTAGCAGAGAGACGTGAAGAGGAGAGAATGGAAGGCTTTAGAAGACAGATCATTGAAGAAGAGAGACAGAAATTGTTAAAGGAACATGCAATGAGGCTATTAGGTTATCTACCAAAGGTAAATTACTAAATATCATACACAACAAGGAGAAAAGACAGTAAACACAGGGTTGTTCTGTCATAATTAACTTCTGCTGGTGTTGAGTGTTTTTCTGGGGAACAGAGTGATTGCAGGTGATTTGAAGGGATTGATAACTTTTGGTTTTACTGTAAATTCAGAAATTATTGTGAGTTTTTATGCTACTGCCGCAGTGGATGGGGCATTAAGTGTTACCCTTGTCTATCTGTCCATCCATACATAAGTATTAGCACAAAACACCTATTAAGTTTGAATTTGGGTGACGTCACTTTTATCGTTCTAAGAGTAATGCCCCTTTAAGAATTGAAAAATTTGCTGAATTTTTTGTTTCCATTATCTAACTTAAGTTTGCCTAACCAAATGGTATGTTACTTGTACACAATGCTTATTACTACAAAACTCAGATCATGTTCGAATTTGGTAGGCGTCACTTTTACAGTTCTTTAGTTATGTACCTTTATAATGTTATATGCCAGGGGGCATCATCTGTATTCTCCATTTATTTATAAATGCAAATAAATTTCATAATGTGACTGGATGGGTATTGCAACAATAAGAACTGGCATTCTGATATCTGATACATTTATCTGTATGCTGATTTCCTTAAATCATAATAAATCTTGCATTTTGTTCATTCTTCAAAAATCACAAAAATAAATGCAGCCAATTGGGTCAACATCTTTAATTGTTTTTCCATAGGCGGTAATGGTAACGTTTTTTCCTGTAGCTCAGTCCATATCGTAAACTTGGATATGTATGATAGCTCGTTTTGAAGCTGTGACATTTTCACATATGTGGTTAAATTTTCGGGGTACGAAGTGAGATTACTTTTTCTGTAAATTAGCATACCCCGAACATCCTTTCGTGATGCGGCTCCTCGTGGTAAAAAATCCCTTTTTTAACGCAATAAGTTCTTTGAAAATTTAATAATTTGAACACATTTAATAGCTCCATAGTTTTTACACATTTAATCTATGTTCCTCTACTTTGATAATCACCACAAATGGTTAAGCTCAGCCATTTGTAAAAAATAGAAACATGTCCAATATCACTACACAGAGATTTTTTGTTTACACACAACTTTTGAGTTCATCATTTCGAGGTGCATTAGGGATATTGACCCAATTAATAACATCTGTATGCTCAATCTGAAATCTTCCATATTTTTTTTACTTCAGTCAATTTTTGATATGTACAACTACTACATTGTCAAGTTTTGGTTCAATTCAAAAGTAAGGTGGTACATAACACTACAGGGAGATAACTCTGTAAATATCAGCTTAACGTTTTAATCACGTTCTATTGTTAAGGGAATATTAAGCTTCTGAATGATCAAAATTAGTGTTTGTCAAACTGCTATATATCCAATGAAATTTTTCAGATAAAGTGTGTGGTTCATGTTTTTTTAATTTTTATATATTTGTCCAAGGGTCAAAGTAAATATTTTGTCAAAATTTATTGAAAATTAAATGAGCCAAATTAATTTTAGTCAAGGTGTTTGGTACCACCTTAAAGATGGTTTTGTTGTTGGTATTTAAAATCAATTTCATTGACCGTGGCTATATCATGGCAGCCAGATTTTAATGGAAAAGGAAACCAGAGTATCAAAAGAGAACCACTGACCTTTGGCAGGAAAAAAACTGGAGATTTTTTTTTAATAAAATATGATTGAGACAAACTGTACAAAATCAGTATAATTTCTCTTGAAAAGTTAATTGACATTTTATTCATACATTTTTATTTTGCAGGGAGTGATACGAGACGAAGGAGATTTAAACATGTTAGGAGGAGATTTTAAAGAAGCATATAAAGCCAGACAAATAGATCCATTTGATGATGAGGCCTGGGACCAACGGCGATGAATACTGCTATTAAATTAGTTAACATTCAGTCCATAAAACCTTTATTTATTGTATGATGTATACTTCAAACTTTTGTGAAGAAGAAAAAAGTATATCTTGTTTGTTTAAGAAGTCTCGATAGTTGAATTATTACGAAAGAGTCTGTTTCATTATCTCAAAATAGTTCCTCAAATAAATAAAAGTTGGCCAGACCTCTTCACTTTATTTGCAGAGGTTTAATTTCAGTTCAATTATAATCTTTATAATTCAACCCTTTGAACTCTTCTATTTTAAGATGAGGAACACTGCCTTTACTGTTCAATTTATTATAAACAGCCAATTTCACTATTTCTGGCATTTCAGGATAATTATAAGTACATTTTATTAAGCCAAACAAAAGTTTCAGCTGTCAAGCTTGTTATTTTTTTATCTTTCAAAAGAAAATAAGTTTGTATTTTGAATATCTCAAACAGCTGATTTTTAAAACATATTAATTAATCAAAAGGATGAGGAGCTTAATTATCACTTATAGTTCTAGAATGTCTTTAAAGCTTTTGATCAGCAAAGATTGTAAAGTATTTAAATTTTATTGAAAAGATTAATACATATTGAAGCTATTAGATATTTAATGGCTCAATTTGAATATAGTTTAAAAAATAGTTTAGTTCAATTATAGAAGTAAAAGTTATCAAAAGAATAAATGATTATTACTTTTCTACAAAACTTTGGTCCAGGAATAAGCTTTACAGGGCCCAGTAGCCAATGCTACTAAAAATTTGGCTGGACCCTTAACTTTTTGCAGAATATTCCATAAGGTCAATACAAAATTTTTGCATTTTATCAGTTCGGCCTTGAAGTGAAATTTTAAATCTTATTTTCAGGATTTTGGCAGTATTACAATACATTATAACATACAGTGTATGTCAAATGATTCCAAGTGCTTGTCAAAATGGAAGGACAATGTCTTCAAAAATCTGTGTTATTAATTCTATATCTTTTTTTTTAAAGATGTAATGAATGGAAGGATGTGTGATTGTGTAGGTGTGTGTGTGTGTATGACTGTACTATGAGAATAGATAGAGTTAAGAAGACCAAATCATGTGTGAAATAGGTTGAACAGGTGTGAGGGAGAACTACTCATGAATATTCAAGACAATTATGACTGCTTGAATTCATATTGTTCTTAATATTTGATGAATATTTATACATATCTGTTTTTATAGGTCATTTTACAATTGTAAATAATTATTAAACTGAAAGTGAAAACCTGAGATTTGTTTAATGTTATTAAATAAAACTGTTATCAGCAAAACAAGATCTACAAAAAAGACACTATGACCAAAACCAGGAGTTACTGCCCATAAATGACGATTTAAGACTATTGTTGTCAAGCCTTTGACTTCTGTCGCAGAAAGTTCAACTTAGAGATAGTGATCCAAGACCTGGATGCTTCATACTTTATATATGGATGCCTTATGTTATGAAGTTTCTGTCTTTCATATGTCCATTGTCCTTGACCTCATTTTCATGGTTAAATGACTACTTAAAAAAAAAGTTTTTGTAATGTTAATTTCTCTCTTAGTTATCATTTCATGGATCAGTGAACATAGTAAAGTTTTGGTGTTCAAGTCCATATCTCAGATACTATAGGCAACTATATTTGGTGTATAGAATGAATGTACGGTGTACATGTCCAACTGACAGGTGTCATCCGACCTGACCTCATTTTCATGGTTCAGTGATTTAGGTTGTTACTTGACCTCATTTTCATAGTTTAGTGATTTAGGTTAAGTTTTTATACGACCGCAAAAAAATTTTGCAGTCGTATATTGGTATATGACCTTGGCGCATTGTCGCCGTCGTCCGAAGACACATTGGTTTTCGCACTATAACTTTAGTTTTAGTGAATGGATCTCCATGAAATTTTACCATGAGGTTCAGTACCACAAAAGAAAGGTTGGGATTGATTTTGGGGGTTATGGTACCAACAGTTAAGGAATTAGGGGCCAAAAATAAGCATTTTTCTAGTTTCCAGACAATAACTTGTGGAATGGTGTATGGATCTCTCTGAATTTATACCACGAGTTTCCATACCACAAAGGGATGGTTAGGATTTGCTTTGGGGGGTTATGGCTCAAACCGTTTAGGAATTAGGGGCAAAAAAGGGATAAAAACAAGGGTGTCCTGGTTAATGGACAAATACTTTAGTACAAAACATAATTTAAAGCAGTGTAAGGGAGGTAAATCCAATACATCATTTGAATTACCTCCCTTACACTGCTTTTAAATTATGTATAAAGTAATGGTTAATAAACAATTAAGACGATTTAAAAGCAGTGAAAGGGAGGTAATCCAAATACATCGTTTTGATTACCTCCCTTACACTGCTTTTAAATTATGACAGTAAACATAGTTGTTGTTCTGTCATAATTAACTTCTGCTGGTGTTGAGTGTTTTCCTGGGGAACAGAGAGATTGCAGGTGATTTGAAGGGATTGATAACTTTTGGATTTACTGTAAATTCAGAAATTATTGTGAGTTTTTATGCTACTGCCGCAGCGGAGGGGGCATTAAGTGTTACCCTTGTCTATCTGTCCATCCGTACATAAGTATTAGCACAAAACACCTATCAAGTTTGAATTTGGGTGACGTCACTTTTATCGTTCTAAGAGTAATGCCTCTTTAAGAATGGAAAAATTGCGGAATTTTTTGTTTCTGTTATCTTACAAGTTTGCCTAACCAAATGGTATGAAACTTGTACACAATGCTTATTACCACAAAACTCAGATCATGTTCGAATTTGGTAGGCGTCACTTTTACAGTTCTTTAGTTATGTATCTTTATAATGTTATATGCCAGGGGGGCATCATCTGTATTCTCCAATATATTTATTAATGCAAATAAATTTCATAATGTGACTGGATGGGTATTGCAACAATAAGAACTGGCATCACTGATATCTGATACATTAATCTGTATGCTGATTTTCTGAAATCACAATAAATCTTGCATTTTGTCCATTCTTCAAAAATCACAAAAATAAATGCAGCCAATTGGGTCAACATCTTTAATTGTTTTTCCATAGGCGGTAATGGTAACGTTTTTTCCTGTAGCTCAGTCCATATCGTAAACTTGGATATGTATGATAGCTCGTTTTGAAGCTGTGACATTTTCACATATGTGGTTAAATTTTCGGGATACGAAGTGAGATTACTTTTTCTGTAAATTAGCATACCCCGAACATCCTTTCGTGATGCGGCTCCTCGTGGTAAAAATCCCTTTTTTAACGCAATAAGTTCTTTGAAAATTTAATAATTTGAACACATTTAATAGCTCCATAGTTTTTACACATTTAATCTATGTTCCTCTACTTTGATAATCACCACAAATGGTTAAGCTCAGCCATTTGTAAAAAATAGAAACATGTCCAATATCACTACACAGAGATTTTTTGTTTACACACAACTTTTGAGTTCATCATTTCGAGGTGCATTAGGGATATTGACCCAATTAATAACATCTGTATGCTCAATCTGAAATCTTCCATATTTTTTTTACTTCAGTCAATTTTTGATATGTACAACTACTACATTGTCAAGTTTTGGTTCAATTCAAAAGTAAGGTGGTACATAACACTACAGGGAGATAACTCTGTAAATATCAGCTTAACGTTTTAATCACGTTCTATTGTTAAGGGAATATTAAGCTTCTGAATGATCAAAATAAGTGTTTGTCAAACTGCTATATATCCAATGAAATTTTTCAGATAAAGTGTGTGGTTCATGTTTTTTTTAATTTTTGTATATTTGTCCAAGGGTCAAAGTTAATATTTTGTCAAAATTTATTGAAAATTAAATGAGCCAAATTAATTTTAGTCAAGGTGTTTGGTACCACCTTAAAGATGGTTTTGTTGTTGGTATTTAAAATCAATTTCATTGACCGTGGCTATATCATGGCAGCCAGATTTTAATGGAAAAGGAAACCAGAGTATCAAAAGAGAACCACTGACCTTTGGCAGGAAAAAAACTGGAGTTTTTTTTTTTAATAAAATATGATTGAGACAAACTGTACAAAATCAGTATAATTTCTCTTGAAAAGTTAATTGACATTTTATTCATACATTTTTATTTTGCAGGGAGTGATACGAGACGAAGGAGATTTAAACATGTTAGGAGGAGATTTTAAAGAAGCATATAAAGCCAGACAAATAGATCCATTTGATGATGAGGCCTGGGACCAACGGCGATGAATACTGCTATTAAATTAGTTAACATTCAGTCCATAAAACCTTTATTTATTGTATGATGTATACTTCAAACTTTTGTGAAGAAGAAAAAAGTATATCTTGTTTGTTTAAGAAGTCTCGATAGTTGAATTATTACGAAAGAGTCTGTTTCATTATCTCAAAATAGTTCCTCAAATAAATAAAAGTTGGCCAGACCTCTTCACTTTATTTGCAGAGGTTTAATTTCAGTTCAATTATAATCTTTATAATTCAACCCTTTGAACTCTTCTATTTTAAGATGAGGAACACTGCCTTTACTGTTCAATTTATTATAAACAGCCAATTTCACTATATCTGGCATTTCAGGATAATTATAAGTACATTTTATTAAGCCAAACAAAAGTTTCAGCTGTCAAGCTTGTTATTTTTTTATCTTTCAAAAGAAAATAAGTTTGTATTTTGAATATCTCAAACAGCTGATTTTTAAAACATATTAATTAATCAAAAGGATGAGGAGCTTAATTATCACTTATAGTTCTAGAATGTCTTTAAAGCTTTTGATCAGCAAAGATTGTAAAGTATTTAAATTTTATTGAAAAGATTAATACATATTGAAGCTATTAGATATTTAATGGCTCAATTTTAATATAGTTTAAAAAATAGTTTAGTTCAATTATAGAAGTAAAAGTTATCAAAAGAATAAATGATTATTACTTTTCTACAAAACTTTGGCCCAGGAATAAGCTTTACAGGGCCCAGTTGCCAATGCTACTAAAAATTTGGAAGGACCCTTAACTTTTTGCAGAATATTCCATAAGGTCAATACAAAATTTTTGCATTTTATCAGTTCGGCCTTGAAGTGAAATTTTAAATCTTATTTTCAGGATTTTGGCAGTATTACAATACATTATAACATACAGTGTATGTCAAATGATTCCAAGTGCTTGTCAAAATGGAAGGACAATGTCTTCAAAAATCTGTGTTATTAATTCTATATCTTTTTTTTTAAAGATGTAATGAATGGAAGGATGTGTGATTGTGTAGGTGTGTGTGTGTGTATGACTGTACTATGAGAATAGATAGAGTTAAGAAGACCAAATCATGTGTGAAATAGGTTGAACAGGTGTGAGGGAGAACTACTCATGAATATTCAAGACAATTATGACTGCTTGAATTCATATTGTTCTTAATATTTGATGAATATTTATACATATCTGTTTTTATAGGTCATTTTACAATTGTAAATAATTATTAAACTGAAAGTGAAAACCTGAGATTTGTTTAATGTTATTAAATAAAACTGTTATCAGCAAAACAAGATCTACAAAAAAGACACTATGACCAAAACCAGGAGTTACTGCCCATAAATGACGATTTAAGACTATTGTTGTCAAGCCTTTGACTTCTGTCGCAGAAAGTTCAACTTAGAGATAGTGATCCAAGACCTGGATGCTTCATACTTTATATATGGATGCCTTATGTTATGAAGTTTCTGTCTTTCATATGTCCATTGTCCTTGACCTCATTTTCATGGTTCAATGACTACTTAAAAAAAAAGTTTTTGTAATGTTAATTTCTCTCTTAGTTATCATTTCATGGATCAGTGAACATAGTAAAGTTTTGGTGTTCAAGTCCATATCTCAGATACTATAGGCAACTATATTTGGTGTATAGAATGAATGTACGGTGTACATGTCCAACTGACAGGTGTCATCCGACCTGACCTCATTTTCATGGTTCAGTGATTTAGGTTGTTACTTGACCTCATTTTCATAGTTTAGTGATTTAGGTTAAGTTTTTATACGACCGCAAAAAATTTTTGCAGTCGTATATTGGTATATGACCTTGGCGCATTGTCGCCGTCGTCCGAAGACACATTGGTTTTCGCATTATAACTTTAGTTTTAGTGAATGGATCTCCATGAAATTTTACCATGAGGTTCAATACCACAAAAGAAAGGTTGGGATTGATTTTGGGGGTTATGGTACCAACAGTTAAGGAATTAGGGGCCAAAAATAAGCATTTTTCTAGTTTCCAGACAATAACT